TAAATTTTGGCAGCACACTTTCTTTATCCTTCATTCGCTTTTAAGAACCTATAGAAATTCATATGATATGAATTGTCATGAAATTGGATTATAGTGAAATTTATACCTATTTTAATATGAAATGTTAATTTTTTGGGTGAATTTTTCTCTTTTTTTTTTTTTTTTTTTTTTGAATTTGGGTTTAGAAGAGAGTATAAATAAAATTTGATAGTTTCAAAAAGAGACCCCGAATTTCTGATTTCATCGCAACCTGCACTAGGGATGGATCAGGTCCTTGAAAGGATCAGTCTTTAACAGGTCTCGCGGTTATTTGGTCCCCTGGTCTCCGGACCAGTCTTTATTAATAGTTAAAAATTGCCAATTAAATTTATTAAAAATATATATATATATAACATAATCGATTACTGTCATATTGAAACGTATGGGGTTTATACGGCGAGTCAGTCGCTTGACTATGGAAAACTCCTTATAACCTACGAATGGCTTATCGAAAGAGGGCGTTTAGATTTGGTCGGTGGTTAGGCTCGTAGGTAATTAATTATCTTTAATCTTCTAGGGTTCGAGTCTTTAGGGGTATTACCACTATTATCAACCTTCGTAACAGGGTCGGACCACTTATGTACTTTAACCTTGTAAAAAATGAACACCACAGTACGTCGGGTATTCCAATATTCGAAACCACAATTACCACGGTACGTTGGGTAACTGGACCTGAATCTATAAAGTACGTCAAGATTAGCCAGACAATTTACAGGGTAGGTATCACGTGGACAAGACAACAGTAAACGTACTGTGTGTCAATTTAACGATGGCGGGATTATAGGGGGGTAGTTTAGCGAAAGTATTATGTATTCGGGGTTTAATGTATTGGAAATTATTAATTATTTTAATAAAGAACTCAGTTTCTCAAAGCAAAACTACCAAGAGTTATTCTTTATTACGAGCGAATACGCTTTCATAATATACAATACTTTAACGTCCTAAATGTACTAAAATCAATAAAACCCACTAATTCCCTATACCTCCTTTCCCTCCTTAATCTCTTTTTCCTACTAAAACTCTCATACATATCCCCGGGTAACTTTAAAGTACTTTTTGGAAACGTAACGTTTCACTAATAAAAAATCACTGCAAAAGCCATTTTTCACTTCGAAAGAACGTTTATATTCACTATACAAAAATAATCAAAAATAATCAGTAACCCCGAGAACTTTACTTAGAAGACAAAGTATACCTACCGTTTATTGGACCATATTGTAGAGTGAAGGTAACTGGCAACGTTTTCGTCTAAAGCTATTTTATTACGTTAGATTTAGACAAACTTTTGCTTTTAACTGTTTAATTTGAATAGGTACAAGCTCTTAGTAGTAGAAGATTCGGGCTTAATATTTAAATTAGGTCGGTTCTTGTAATGCGTTTGGGCTTGTCAACCGTATATTAATAGTTATAGTTTATATATTGTTCGTAGGTAGATCTTGTACGTAGATTCTTTAATGAGTTTGGGTTTATTAGTAATAAATATCACATTTACCTACATTACGCATATCTATCTATTCTCTAAATATAAGTAATTCATTCTTTTGTGTGTATTTATTAGTTTGTAAGCTTCTTTATTCGAAGTTTGTTTCTTTTTCTAGCAACTGTAGTATTAATAAAATTATGTATTTTGATTGGTTAATTATCACGGGCAATCACGGGTAGATCTACCAAAATTAACCAATCATATGAATGTCTGCCCATGAGCCTGGCACCTTATAAAATTACCCGATTTTTCCGTTTTTTTTCAATTTTTAAATTAATATTAGGGTTAGGGCTAGAGTAGAGTTAGAGAGTAGTTTATATATAGTAAAATCGCCTTTCCGACACTTTTACTTAGTCAACCAAGACCGGTTTGGATAGCCGTTTTTTATATATTTCGTGTTTTTGTCTTTGCCGTCTCGCTTTGTTTTGTTCGGACTGATCTGGGTTATATATCGGGTAATTTCGTAAGGTGCCAGGCTTTAAACGACCTCCTTTTTTGGGACGGTCCCTCCTGCTCGTTTTGGGGGGAGGCTAAAGCGGAGCGAGATTTAGTTAAAATTAGGATTACTTTCTTGATGCATTTAGTTATTATTTATATATAGATATCAAGAATATGATTTATGCAATATGTAGATCATATATTGAATTAACTCCGCTTTAGCCGACCCCTCGTTTTGGCACAATTTTTTTCGGAGGCGGTTTTGCCTGTGACACTATTTAATCCAGTGAATCCATGCAAATTGATCATCTGTACAGATTCCGGATTGATGATCAATCTGTTCGAACATTTTGTGCGATTCGTATAATTCGGATTTGACCGGGTCACACCACTACCCTAGATTCAATAATGAAAGTTAAGCACAATCTTATTGCGTCACTGTGACACATCTCTTCAAACATAAATCTGACGTACATAAAATATTTGAGAATAAATTCTGCATGTAAAAATGTTTGTAGCGTTCTAACGCTAAGCATAAAAAATTTTTATCACACACGGAAGTATCTATATCTGGCAATGTTTTTTTTTAAACATCCATTGTAGTACGTATCTATAATATGCGATGAATTTATTTCATTTATATGTTTAAGTAATAAAATCACACGATTTCATTATTTTTCATAACGCACTTTAGAAAAGCCTTCACAACAAAAATTCAATTGTCTTATCGTTATAAAAATTAGAAAAATAGAAAACTAATGTTGCGAGATAATATTAATTACCTATTACCATTACCAAAAAAACAAGTTCCATTTTATATTATCAAAAATTATAAATTCAGTCATGTGGTGGTGTGCTTGGAGTAGTAAACCTTAGTAAAATTCTAGTACGCTCACAACTATTGGTGATAATTGAATAAAGTTCCTTACGGTCTCTTCTTATAGCTTCAGCGATCCCAGCAATCTTAGTAGCAGATTTACCAATAGCACGCTATATGTTACATAATTGGTTAGAAACTTTTAAACAAGTGCCACTGACATACAATATACATACTTGAAATTTAAGTAATGACATTATAAAAGGCTCCACTTTTTTTGCGTGGGATGAAGAAAACGGTATTGATAAAGTCACAAACTTTTGTAAACGATAAAAGACACTATTTACTAAGTCAAATACAAATAAATCAAGTTTGGTGTATCCTATTTCGCAAATATAGCATTTACAATATTAGATGTTCCAATTATGTACCAATTGGTTGGATAGCAAATAAATTTATTTTAGTAAACTGCTTGTTTATTTCAGAATAGATATTTACAACCGTATCGTCTGCTGATTCTCTTTCTAACCGTTCATATACATCCTTTAACATCCTTATCATTTTTCCTTATCGCTCAATATTTTATTCTTGTCTGCTGTTTCTCTACAACTTTCGCCTATTAGAATTTCTAATTTTTTTTTTCCTTTCAGTGGCACGGTCACACGTAACCGATAATCAGGTATGTGTCCATTACCATTGCAATTATCATTATTGCGAACTCGTTCAGCACTTGACTCTGATGTCTCATCGCCCCTAAAATTATAAATTATACAGTACATAAAACATAAATATTAACATTGTATTTGTGATAATATAATTTGAGAAAGCTTACCAAGTTGAAATATACGGGACTTCCAAATTAAAAAGAGTTCCTCAATAATTCGTTCAGTTTGCGTAATTGTAATATGATTTTCACATGAGTCTTTTTTTTTCCATAAAATAATCCGGATGTTTTTCATTTCGCCAAAGAATTCAGCTAGAATTTTAACTTTAGTAAAAAAGGCAGTAAGTGAATGTAGACACTTAATTGAAGTAAAACTTACAGCTCATTTAACAATCCAATTGCGCATTTTACGTAAACATTGTCTTCTTGTGTTGTTTGAAACAAAAGGTTCTTAGGTACCATAAAAGAAAACTTATAACAAACTCCCAACTTTTATTCTTATATGTTGTAACAAAAATTTATCTACTATGAAGAAAACAGTCTCTTCGGTGTTAATTTTTCTAAAATACACACGTTTATCAAACTTTAAAAGCTTGAATGTTGCATCAAAAGGATTTGTGGTATCTAAGATACCTATTACGCTAGAAGACATCCAATAAAGATAGTTTAAACTCGTATTAACAAAAGTATTTACAACGTTCTCCGTTTTGTATCTATCCTCTTTATTTGTCCATTTAGTTTTGTTCTGTTAAATATAAAAAATTAGCATCATATACAATATTATGCTATATTACATTATTATCAAGTCTTACCATCATTTCCTGCATTATTTTAATATTTTCCTTAAACTCTTCTTGCCACTTGTTATGCATTTTGGCTTGATATTTTTTTGAAACAGAATTAAATAAACGATTACGCTTTATCCATATAAAAATAATAGATTTGTTAGATAAATTTATAAAATGCAAGGTAGAAATAACCACAGTATATATTTCATCAGTATATAAACAAGAAAAGTGAAAAGTACAAAGTTGAACTTAATAAGAAAAACACACAAGCGTCAAAATAATGCTATCCTCGCTTTCATCAGAAAGTAGAGTGTATACAAAAGCATTTAAAAACGCACTCATCGCTTCCAATCAGGAAGTAGAAGGCATGCAAGACATTAAAATGAAGAGGAGTGTTTGAAAAAAGAAACACAAATCATCTAAAAACGTCATCATCGCTTCCGTTAAGAAGTAGAAGGTGTGCAACATCTAATTAAACAAACAGTTACCCACACTTTCATGTTTATACAAGTCATCATAAATACCTGCGACATGTAAATTAACTTTTCAGAAACTTACTTCAGAAAATTACCTTTTTAACACCCAGTTTAAGTGCAACGTCTTTAGCCTGTTTCAAGTTTTTCTATGCTTCTGTGTTTAAACTATTTATTGCTTCGTTTATACCTCTGGACCATCTGTTGAACGCTTCTATAGAATCTGCTAGCGGTGCTTCTGACTAGAGATGCAGGCGAATCATCCCAATGATGTCCCAATGATGTTACGGCTTAAACCGTAACTATCTAAAGCTTATGTCGTAACTAGTTACGGCGATCATTGGGACGATTCGCCTGCACCTCTACTTCTAACTGAAACTCGCGTATCAACTATATCTCGTAATTTAATGTTAATGGGTCTTTTGAATTTATTAGAAACCAATCAGTATATTTGTGATTAGACATCTTTGATTTTATAAATTTCGGTAAAAGAAGACAGACAACGCGTAAAATCTGACAACGCGAAAGATTTTGATATAACATGTTAAATATACCTTATGTGAATCAAAAAAACGTGGTTTATTTTTGTCACACTTGCATAAAAAATTTTTTACATGTATTGGAATTGCTACGGACACAGCAGCACGTGATATAATTCCCCTAATTCTGCCATATTCTAACCCTAACCTTAACTATAATGCAGGCCATGCTGTGTCGTTAAGGTTAGTGCTGGTGAAATTCCCCTCTGGTTTTTGTCGATCATTAGTCACATGATTAACAAAACCCTAGCACAGATTTCTTGCAAATAATCTGTTACTTTATTCTGTATGTCGAGCACTCCCGCAAGCTTCAGTTATCTTACCGCGTACGGTACGTCAAAAACTGGGTTCTCTCCTAGCCTACCAGAACATAGTAAGTTTCTTATGCTACGTTAATACTGTACTTTTAATACGGATTATTTCTGAATTTCACGAGTTTTTCAGATTCCGCTCTTGATGAAGTAAACAATTCACATATAGAGGTTGTCACTGTGCTGCTTTAGATTGTACTAGATTTAAATTTTTTTTTCTTATAATAGGAAGTACGATTATACACAAATAATAAGGATCGAGAAAAATATGAAAATTTGGCAGACGTATATGCTATCATCGTGACGATGGAGCATTTGGAAAAGGCGTATGTTAGGGATTCGGTCACTGCTACTGAGTTGAGTTAACTTCTTATTAGTCTTATTTTATTCGAGAAGTGTTATGTTCTCATTAAAGATTGGTGTAATTTAGATACACACCTGCATGTGCAAAATTAATAGCTCAATATAAAACTGCAATGAATCTGGTTTGCGATTTGATCCCAGATGTGGAAAAATTTATGAAAGAATATAAGGTTCTAATTATTTCATAAATCAAACCATTTTAATGATTTTCTTCTTAATAAAAATTCTTATCTTTCGGGAATTAGTTAAAGTGCCCGGCTGCAGTTAATAGGTTTAAAATCGGCGTACCTGCAACCATTGAACATTCTATAGACCCTATCAAATCTGCGAAATACGTTGCAGAAACTGTTTCTGTATGTCTTAACCTTTATGCCTATTTAAGTAATTTTGTTTAATGATTTTCTTTTTTTTTTCCAGCATTTTATCACATTAATGGATGCGCTTAAACTGAGCATGAAGGCTGTAGACGAAATTCATCCTATGCTTAGTGATCTAATGCAAAGCTTAAACAACATGAGTTCACTGCCTGCAGAACATGAAGCTAAGATAAGGAATTGGTTAATCACATTAAATAGTATGAGGGCCAGTGATGAAATAAATGAGGAACAAGTACGACAACTATTATTCGATCTTGAAAACGCGCACAATGCATTTTATCGCTCATTATCAGACAAGAGCTGATAATAGTGTTTATATGAAATATTTCCGACTATAACAAGTCCATAGTCATCTAAATTCTTTACTCCTTCTTTATCTTCTTTCGTATTAATAAGAATATAACAATTTTAAAATATTGTATGTTGTTTATGAATAGGATTAAATATTTTCCACTTTGGTCTCCAGATCCGCGCGGGATCACGCGCGCAAAATGCGCGTGATTTTTTGGAATATTTGTATCATACATGTATTTGAACTTGAAATCATTAAAAAAACTTTTATCACAATAATATAAACTAGAGTACTTTAACTATTATCAACATGTCATACGTAATTGAGATGCTAATTCTAACAATAAAGATTAATTTTAAACAAATGGCTAATTTAAAAGGACGATCAAACTTAACCACGAAATTCCATAAATGATGATTTAGTAGTACTATTAAGTAATGATGATAATAGTGTTAGACAATCAAAAGAAATTATCAAGAAACTAAAGATTAAACTCACCTGATTGAAGCATTTGTTTCATCGAGATTATTGTTGCCCGCACCCAAAATTGCATTATTACTGAACAAATGAGGATATCTTAATATACTAATAATAATCTTATGAATAAAAATATAAAATAAAAACTCACCCGCCGCCTACACTCCCAAATGCATTATTGCTAATAAAAAAATAAATAAAAATTAATATACAACGTTATGAATTTAGCATTATTGTAAAACCTTACCTCGCAAACCGAGCAAATCCACTACCACTTGGGGGTTTCACATTTGCAGTAAGTGCAGAAGGAGTTCCGAATGTCCGCGGTTGTCCAAAACCATGTTGTCCAAATGCTGGTTGCCCAAATGCTTGTGCTTTAGGCATGCCAAGTGATGATTGTCCAAAGGCAGTTTGTCCAAACGCTGGCTGTCCAAACGCAGGAGAAGGATGTGCAGGTAATGGATTAAACGCATTTACATTGCTAGGTTGTGTTGCAAAAGCTGGTGGAATGCCCGAGGCATTACCACCAAGCGATAATCCAGTTCCAAACACGATATTATTAGATGTTGCCATGCCAAATTGCGTCTGTTTGCCAAAAGCAGGTGTACTAGTCGGTGCGCTTGTAAGTGATTTATCTCCAAATAAACCGAAACCACCTTGCGAATTAGATTCATTATACGTTTCTGATTGTTCACCTAGCCCAAATGAACCGAAATTTTCAGAAACCCCCATTAATTCATTCCCGGTTTCTGCAATTACATCAGTAGGATTTTCAACGACTTCAACTTGATCCGATATTTCTTGTGACTTGTGTTCAATCTCTTCTGCTTCAGTTTTAGAAACAACATTTGTCACATTAGAGGCATTGTTTTGTTCAGCGTCCGAAGTTTCTTTTCCCTCATTAATTTCTGTTATTGCATACTCTCCACTAGGTATTGTTTGTATTGTTTCCGATTTGGAATCCTCTCCAAAGTGGTTATAAGACTGTCCAAGTTCAGGAACTTTTGAAGATCTGGATACATCGGACGAGATGAATTTTCCAAAATTCAATTCAATAGAATCTTGAGAATCCTCATTATAAGAATCTAAATATTGTGCATCTTCGTCTTTTTGATATGATGATGGCATTTCAAATACGGAAGGTTCTTGTACGGTATCATTACTCTGGGATAGAAAAGTAGGTGTAGGTCGATGTTTAAAGCTTGGAGACATCCAGGCCAAACTCGAGTCATCAGATTCCACAATCTTTTCAAATTTGTGTTGTATAAAATCCTCGCTTTGATCTTTATATGCAAGAGGCGACTCTAGTTCAATAGGTGAAAGAATTCCACTAGCCTCAGGAAGTGACTTATTTGTATACGTGTTTTCTCTAATAGGCGTATCATACATTACTTTAGGTTGATAATCACTAGAAGGTTCGGAAAGACTCGTTATCGTTGTACGTGAGCGATATGACTTGCCCTCACGAATTTGTGTTTGAGGAAATACACGATTCTTAAATGTATTTGGACTTTTTTTTGGTGAAATAATGCTTGATGGCATAGATTTTCTTTCAATCACTTCTACAAATTATACATAAACGAAAAGTTTAAATTTTGTATTACTATTATTATTTTTTATTGAATAAATAATTTTACCAGCTTCATTTTCTTCAAAAAGAGTGGTTTTGACGGGAGACTTTCTCTTAAATTTATTTACATTTTTGAGTTTTTCACATATACGTTCTTTATTAAGATAAGCTGCAGTTGTTTTCGCTGCATCGATTGAATAAGAAATATTTTTAGTTGATGCCTTGGTTGGCTCAATTTTATTAATTTGGTGAGATATAAATGTTTCACTATTAGAAGTATCGCCCTCTGAAGATATTTGCAATGTAAGCTGGTCTAATTGAGCACTTAATCGTTCAATTTGAGAAGAGTTGCGATACAGGCCTTTACTAATGTTACGAATTGATTTATCAATATATTCCAAAGGGGATTGTCTAATTTCAAAGAAGATTTAGATAAGTCAGTAAAATAGCATAAAAAAAATATTATTTTTTTTATTACTTACCTTAATAACTTGTTGGATTTTTTCTCTTGAATTTGTTCATGTAATGCGTTTAGCTGCGTCTCCAAGGCCTGTGCGCTTTCCTTAACGGACTTTTACAAACATAAATATAGGTTGGTATATACAAATAAACACTGGAAAATTGATATTGTATCCAACCTTAAAAGTTGTTTCCAATCTCTCTTTGATACGAGATTGTAATATTCCACGACGACCAACCGTAATCACGTTGGAAGGTGTGCAACTCATATGGTCAAGGTCTTTAGTTGTTTTAACAAAATCTATCCAATTGTGAAATTATTATAATGGTTAAATGTTATTCATTTAAATGATAAATCATCAAAGGTAGAAAGAATGATAACCTATATGGACACCATGACTGAATTCATTAACTTGACGTCGTAAATCAACTAAAGATTGAACCATAGAACCAGCTTCATGCTCCAACCGATTTATTTCTGACATTATTACTGGCAAATCGCCAACTGACCAAACTTCTGGATTATCAAAATCTTGTTCAGTAGTTCGTTCATGATATTTTGCTATACAATCATTTTCCACATATTCGATTAGATTGTGAAGCTAAAAAAAAGAGATACAGCCATACGTAGTTTTTAGTAATATTAAAACGGATAAAGTAATGGATGTTACTTCATACATACAACATTTAAGTCATTTTTAATGGCATTTAAACGAATCATGTGTGGAGTTTTGTTATCAGCTTCTGTAGGTGTCAATTGTTGACTTGAACCCAAATTTCGAGATGGCGTTGAATCCTGAGTTAGCGTAATTTTATTTGGCGATTGGAAGTTTTTATCATAATTTATAGAAGGTGAAAGACCATTATTATATGTAGCTGTTTTTATAGGTGCAGTAATAGGCGACGCTGTTTTGATAGGAGCGACAACAGGCGATGCTGTTTTGATTGGAGCAATAAGAGGCGATGCTGTTTTAATTGGAGCAATAATAGGAGATGCTGTTTTAATGGGAGCAATAATCGGTGATGCTATTTTAACGGGAGAAGCAACAGGTGATGTTGTGATGTTCGTCGCTGACAGTTCAGGGAGGATTAGATATGGTTAGTTATATTCGTTGTGCAAAATCATAAGCATTACTGATGACAAATTATTATTTTGGATGATTATATATACAATACCTGTAAATGTCGTTACGTCTTTCGGATTCCGCCTTGGAGGAAGCATTCCTAATGAATGCCCAGTAGTAGGAAGCATTTTGGGAGGCGTCATCCCAGGAAAATTTTCGTGTGCTAGGAAAGCATCTTTATGAAAACAACGATACGCAACTATGTCACATTCGTCATTTAAAATATATAGTACAGGAACCGGTGGAACCAATATATTTTCTTCGGTCAGTCTAGTATTCCATGGTTCCGTGCAAGTGAAATCAAGTGCCAGACCAACAGGTAAAGTATCATGATCATATATTTCTGATAATGGAAGTGCAGCCCTACTCGTTTCTGTAAGAATCAAGCTAGTCCAGTTATTTGATGCATCTCGAGCAATCAAGTTTATATCTGCAGAATTGGCACTTGCACATATTATAAGACATTTTAAATTTGTACCCCTATTAAATTGTAAACAATTAACGATAGTAGAGACATACAATGCTAATATGTAAAAACCGAACTTTGTTAGCTTATTACCAATCTTTAATGGTTTCCATGTAAAAATAAGGAATTCTGGGGCGATCCGCTTGACTACACATTATTGGACACCTCAGATAGAGAGTCTTCGACTTCATTTCACGTGAAACAACATAAACATCATGTTCTGAATCCTCTTCTTGAATAACTGGAAAATATACCACAACAAATAATGCGGTTTCCAGCCAAAGAACGTTCTGAACTTTGAAATCGTAAACTCGAATGTGAAAAAAAAAAAAAAAAAAAAAAAAAAGCAAATAACCGAATATTATGACAAGAATAATTCAAAAGATACCATAATGTGATTGTTGTTGTAAATCTGGAGGTGGTTGAAAAGTGGCTTTAAGCGTTCCTTCCGGAGTAAATTGCATGAGCTGCCCTAATTGGTTACCGCAAATTATTTGCTTTCCTTTCTGCGACCAACAAACTATAGTAAGGCACGATAAATTAAATTGATTAATTAAAATTTTTTTTTTTAAATTTACAAACAATAACTCATGTATAGTTTGGACTCAGTTTATTAAATATCCACTTTTGAAGGTATTTCGATTTAAATATATTTATTAAAAATCGAATTTAACCTCCTTGTAGAACGGCCACTTACTTGCAGTGAACTGTTCCCCAACTTTATTGCCCTCTATTTTGCTGACTTCATTGTTTACTAAGTAATCTTTGATGTACACTACGCCAGTTACAAGCAAAATGGCTATTAAATTATATTTTTCCCCAGGATTTGGACGAATATCTCTAATGTCATCTGAAAATGACATTATTTGGAAAGGCCGGCTTTCTGCTTGCTATTTATATATTTATACAGCAAAATACGTTAAGCAATATATTCTCGAACGAGTAATAAAATGGGGTCGAGTCAATAGAAATCAAGCAAATTTTTTCAAAGTTTTTTTAAAACTTTAAATAATAATAGCTTAACAAAAACTTAATCAAATTTAATAAATAAAATTTTTTTTTGGAATTCATTCAAAATAAATTTGATTTTAAGTTTTTGTTTCAAAAAAATTTCTATAAATACAATTTATTTGATTTCTACTGACTCACCCAAATATTAATGTTATATGTAATTTGAAAAATACCTCAGAGGCGAATTTTGTAACATCATAAAACAATACATGACCACCTTCTACTCCGACGACTAAGGTTAGTTGATCAGATGAAAGTCGAAGGCATCGAACACGTCCTTCAGGTATTTCAAAGAGAAGTTTTTTGGATAGTAACTCTTTTGAGCCAGAAGTAGAATTTTTGAATAATTCGCGTAAAGTCTGTGTAGACGCGTATATGAAGCCTATTCAAACAGAATACCGAATTTTAAGCAATTTTTCAAGAAATCAAACAGTATAACACGTTTTTAATAAAATCACGGCTATGTTTTGATGATTAAAGTAATTGGAGCCTCTACTTACCTTTTGCTGTCGCTGTAACGAAAAAGCCATATATATTAGAAATGGCAAGCAACGACGGATAGGGTGGTATTACTTCTGGGTAAACGGTATCTTTCTCAAGCTGTATACTTAATGCATTTTTATTAAGCTGTTTGAATTCAAAAAACTATGGCATGATTTCAAAAAATTTGAGATGAATAAAGAAGTTCAAGTCATAGACAAGTAAATCAAAGCGTAAAAAAAACAAATCGACTTACTTCAATTTCTTCTTCTTCGAACGATTGCACCTCTATCTCTTCTGTCATCATTTTTTTATTGTATTGGTATATTCTATCTAATATTCAAAAACAAAAGTACTCGCTAGTGAATCTTCATAGATTTACGTATATCACATTTATGTTACACAATTTAATTTTAACAGTCACACACCTATATTTATTACCAAGGTAAATATGGGTATTGTGACGCATATGGGTATTGTGGCGCATCATCGATATTTCATGTTCCAGTGATCGGATTTGGATAATTTTTGCACCATTTGATTCGTCTCGTCGAGACGAATCGAATAGTGTAAAAATCATCCGAACTCGACCACTGGATCACAAGATACCATGGTTTAAGTTATTTTTTAGCTTTTTTTTATTCGATTTTTAACAAAAGTTAACAATAATAATGATTGACTGAGATTATTTATTAAGCAAATCAATGCTTATACAGTCCTTTTCACAAGACTCACTGGGAAAAGAGTTTTCAAATGAAATATTTAAAGACGTATTTCTTGTCTGCTAAATTAATAGGTGTACGTAGCTATATTGGAAAATTAATCAAATTTCTTCGGTAGGTAGTTAATTCTGTTATTAAAGATCTTGTTATTGAGCCAAACTCAGATCGAAAAAAGCCGCCTAATATTTTATTACTTGGTTATAAGAAGGTGAAGACAAAGGTAAATACAAAATATTTAGATATATTTCATATAGGAGAATTTAAATGTTAATTTAGCTATATTATTGAATACAAACTATGCTTAACTACAGGATAGTAATTACAGAGCTATGTTGAAATATGAAAATTCATGTATAGACTATATTAGATGTTTATCAGTATTAAAAAGCTTTATTCTAGATAAGTAGTCTATAATTGTAATGTAAAATAGAGGACTTAAAAAGCGTATATAAGGTTAAATATGTAGTATATCATTATGTAGACTTGGTAAGAAGGCAATGACATATATTTTTTTCAAATAATTCTTTTCTTCAAGTGACTAGTAAGAAAGAATTTTATAACTGTAATAAATTATATGTACATGTCATTCTTGATATAACGTAGTACCTTGGGCATATAGTGAGAAATTTTTTAAAATCTGCTTTATCGTATGTTTTATTAGTAAATCCATTATATCAAGTAGTATTTATTATGATGTGGATTTGAATCTTAATCTATTATATCAAGATTTTACCTAGTTTCCATTGTATCAAGAGTCCGTTATATTGAGAGTAACGTGTATATATAATTCTAAATAGAATTTATAATTATCATAAAATATGTAGATGTAAGGATATCAAAAATCTGCAGCAACAACTCTTGAAATCTGCTTTCTATAAAAAGCTATTTATATGAAATTATGCAATAAATTTTTAAAATCTGCTTCAATTTTTGTGATTTTTTTAAAATGCTTATAATTATGTTTTCAAAAAAATTTTCTGCTTTGCTATGTAAAAATATACTTAATTTTATACGATTTGATATGAATTATACTCAAAATTCTTATGTTTCTGCTTTTAATACTGAATTATGTTGTTATAATATGAATTTTTAGTAGTTAAATTTTAATATTTAAATTCTATTAATTATATTTTATTAGTATAATATTTTTCTATTAATTTTAAATCATTTAGATATTTTTTGTATAACAACAAGCTGTAAAACACCTTGTATAACTTTGTATAACTTTGTGTAACTTTGTGTAACTCAATGTAACCTATTTGTACCAAACTCTTTAATTCGAACAAAACTGCTTTTTTAGAGTTTGTATAATGTTAGGTACCGATCTGAAAGACCTCATTTCGAGGTTCAAATCTAGGAGTTCCTAACCTAAGGTGCCCAACTTGAGGTTCTTATCTGAGGTTCCCATCTGAGGTTCTTATTTTAGGTTCCTAACTTAGATTTCTATAATTAGGTTCTCATTTTAGATTCTCAATCTAGGTTCCCATAATTAGATTCTTATTTTAGGTTCCCAACCTAGGTTCCTATAATTAGGTTCCCATTTTAGGTTTCCAATCTAGGTTCCTATACCAAGGTTCCTAAAATTAGGTTCCCAAACTAGGTTCCCATACTAAGGTTCTCAAGTTTAGGTTCCTATTCTATAATGTCTAAAAAGCTATATAAACCCTGCTATTTCTACTAAGACAGGACAAGTTCGAGTTCCTCTCTTTTTCTATAATACAAGTTTGAGTTCCCTTCTTTTTCTTTAATATTGTAATATTATTTATAAAAACTATCAAGTTTTTATAAATTATAAGTCGAAGTGTCGAGTAGACTAAGTTTTATATTGAAATTAAAAGGGTTTTTAATGAAAATAATTTAAGATATTTTTATAATGGAACAATATTAAATAGTTTTTAAAGATAAAAATGTTTTATTAGATGTTTTAATATATATTATATAGTAGATAAGATTATAAAAGAGAACTTGTATAGAACTTGTTATTTTAGAAGGGCAAAAAGTAACCCTTTATATATCTTTTCATAACACTATTTTTAGAAAGATACCATGTGTTGTAGAAGTTTCCAAGAGATGCCATGAGGTAAAACATGTGCTAGAACCATATGGTATGCCATATGGTATGGTCTGCATCGGATTTCCCGACCATATGCGTTGCACAAGTTAGAAAGTAACACGATATACCTCTTGGCATTATAAAACTAAAAATAGCGATTACTCAATAACTTACATAATGATTTGTAATGAAACACATA